GTGAAACAGAACGGTTCTTCAGATGTTAAAGGTTCTTTATGGAACCATTTAGACAAAAAGGTTCTTCTATGGCATCGTGAAGCACCTTTATTTTTAAGAGTGTAGTTCATAAACTAGACGGTTGAAGTCATTTGGGACACAACTACTATTATTATACCACCATAATACTTTTTTATAGGGACCTGAACACTGGAAGTTGTTTTCAAACAAAAACAAGAATGTTATTTGACTACAGTGCAAAGAGAAATACAGTCTCTTTTGCGTTACAGCTCATTGGGTGTCATAACCTCAAGCCAAGACAGGAACCATATATTTCACTTTTTGCACAAAAGCCTGTTGCCTAACATAACTGTGCAATCATCTGTGTGATCATAGGCCTGCATTCTGCTAGTTATGATGTTTTCATGCTTTGCTCATTATGGTTGATGGCAAATGATTTGCTCTGCTGTATAATCTCTAGATAACCAACATCCACACCTTTTTACCTCTGACTTCATTTTAGTTGCATGTGCATTTAAGATAGATTTTCTAACATATAAATTAATACTCACATACTTAGTGTGCAAACGAACATGTGTTTAAATCATCAGCAACAGCAACCACAGAATATGAGATCAAACGCTGTCGGTTCATTCGCAGGAATAGAGCAGGAGGAAATTGTTATGTAACATACATATTATAGACTTCAAAGGCTAATGCATTGTTGGGTGAAAACAGGATAGATTCAAATAATATTCCCATATTTGTCTCTTGCATTTAAACAAAGGATGCAGATGAAACTTAGTTTTTTGATTTGGAGAAGCTGTTGCTATTTTTGTCAGTGTGTCTGCTTAGAAATATGAAACAGATCTACTTTGGATTAGCCTAAGAGAGATTGATGTCATTATTAGATATTGATTTGCAGAGGCAAATATCATGCATGATTGCTGTGTGTACAATTATAGACATTTCAAATGCAGAGTAACCTTAAATAATTTAAGAATAATATTAGGCTCACTTGATTAACAATGCATCATTTTTAGAAAAAGCATGTTAAAATGTGAGTATCTAATATGATCATCAGGCTTTTGAGGAACGCTTATTTGTTCATCTTTCAATCATCGTTGTTTTGCATTGCATTATATTTTTAGATCATCAAAACTAAGCATTTAAATATCATCTTACTACATATTATTGGCAGATATACAGAGTGATGACTGATATTTATATCATTTTAAGTAAATATCTGCTATAATGTTATAAATATCTAATTGATTTACATTACAAGCTTCGGAATTTCATCATATAAATATCAGCATCTGCACCAAATTGCATATTTTTGCTCAGTCTGGATATTTAAAAAAAAAATGAGGTGTTTTTTTTCCTCCTTATTCTCACTATATCATTCTATATGAGTCATAAAAGTCTGATGTACTACATAAAACATATATACAAACTTTTTAAATATGTTTAATTTTTCTGACTATCATTTCATATGTCAGGCTTCACAGGGTTAAGAAAACTACTCTCTCTGTCTGAACATGTACAGCAGCCGGTATCTCAGCACAAGCATCTCTAGTGTTTATCCGGTCCCAGTTTCAGCCCATGAGCCGGACTGTATTTGTGAATGGGATATAATCAGCACTGACTCATTCACATCCGCTCTCAGCTGGAACTCTTGTCTGAGAGACTTATGGGAGGTTTCCTCTGAGGACATGAATACTGAGTCATTTCCAGTCACTTATGCTTTTTTCTTATATCTGGAAAATAAGGTATAGACCTATTGAAAAAGTTTTAATAAACAGCTAAAGTCTCAGAGGTCGCTGGGCAGGAAGGCATTGTTATTTTCACAACCTTGTTTCCTTTAGTCTAGACAAACGCACAACTGAAACATTCAAGAAAGAAGAACCTCATCACACACTGATGAGTGTCTAAGATAAACCATCTCTTGAGTTTAATTACAGTGTTTAGTTAAACAGAACAATCACAGTGTCACATTCCTGCAGGAGCAGCACATGCAATAATGGACAGGCCTTTTACGAATAAGCATGTAATTCTCATTAAGTTTGGCTCTGACCCTGGTAATGTCTCAGGAATCTCTCAGAGAGCATTGCACTCCCACTTCACACATTAACAAACAACTGCCTGTAATACAGCTGGACTGAGCAATGCTTGCGACTGTAATACTGTTAGATGTTTGTTCAAATCCAAAGTATGAGCAAACACCACTAACTTACCTTTACATTTTCATTTAATCATTTAGCTGATGCTTTTATCCAAAGCAACCTATACAAATGAGGATCAACAAAAGAGCAATAATGTAAGTGCTGTGAAGTCTCGGTTAGTCTAATGCAGTGCACGTAGCAAGGTATATATATATATATATATATATATATATATATATTTAAATAAAAAAATAAATAAGTAGTTAGAATAGAAATAGAATAGAGAGTGCAAGAGTGTTAGAGGGTCAAGTTTTTTTAAATAAATAAAAAGAACCCAAGTAGATAAAATAGAGAGTGCTATTGTTATTAATAGTGTTACTAATAAAACACAGAAACAAAACTACACTGTAAAAAAAATGATTTTTTAAATCTGTAAATAAAACAAACATGTTGGTGTTTAAATATGCTTAAAGGGGTCATATGATGTTGCTAAAAAGAACATTATTTTGTGTATTTGGTGTAATGAAATGTGTTTATGCGGTTTAAGGTTAAAAAAACACATTATTTTCCACATACTGTACATTATTGTTTCTCCTCTATGCCCCGCCTTTCTGAAACGCGTAGATTTTTACAAAGCTCATCGGTCTGAAAAGCGAGGTGTGCTGTGATTGGCCAGCTATCCAGTGCGTTGTGATTGGCCGAATACCTCAAGCGTGTGACGGAAATGTTACGCCCCTCAACATACTGTGCTGCCCTGTCCGGCCGGAGCGACGAGACAAAAACATTAAAACCCATTATAAACGAGGCATTCGTTGCATCCAGTATGGACATAATTATGGACGGATTATAATGACTTATACTGTCTTTTTACGCGTTGCGTTGCATCGCGCCACGTAAACATAACACCATGTCTGCATTTGTGATCGGAGAAATTACAAACAACAAGCACTACTCTACACTGCTCAAAACTCGCGTTTGAATCGTCAGTGGCAAATCCTTTAAATATAAAAACGTACTTACAGTCTGTGAGTCAGAACAGCCGGCATTGTAGTCTACTCTACCAGGATCAGGAAACAGTCCTCCATAAAATGCGCTGCACACATCTGAATATTTGGGTTGAAGTGTTCTGGAACAGTGTTGTAAATACAACTTAACCACTGATTTCTAGTCGTGTCCTCTTTTGGAAGACCAAACAAAGTAGTTTCGCTTTCACAACGAAACAGTGTAACACACCGCGCGGCCTTGAGTGAGCGGCGGCGGTGGATTCGACGAAGGAGGCTTGCGGCAACCACATGTGATGTCCCCGGGCTGGACTCCGCTTCGTCCACGGTGAAAGCCGATCCGGTGATCCACAGCACTAAGTTGATGTATTTCCTCAGCGACCAGCACGGATCAGCTCCAGGCATGACGAAGTGGATATCGTCCTCTTTTGGAAGACCAAACAAAATAGTTTCGCTTTCACAACGAAGCACACAGCGTCTTCACGACATGGCGGCGGCAACAACAAAACTACAGCGAGAATAAAAGTTACGCCTTCTTTCTTTGCGTGAACATTTGGGCGGCGTTATGCAAATCTTCCCTCATAGTGATGTAGGTATGTGGGGGCGTGTTAGAACGAGGCGTTTTACACTCTTAAAAATAAAGGTGCTTCATGATGCCATAGAAGAACCTTTTTGTCTAAATGGTTCCATAAAGAATCTTTAACATCTGAGGAACCTTTATGTTTCACAAAAGGTTCTTTGTGGCGAAAGAAGGTTCTTCAGATTACAAATAGGTAAGAAAGAGATGGTTCTTTAAAGAACCTTTGACTGAATGCTTCTTTGTGGAACCAAAAATGGTTCTTCTATGGCATCGCTTGAAGAACCTTTTGAAGCACCTTTATTTTTAAGAGTGTAGGTAGGTGTGGCTGACTCTTAACTTTTATAAAGAATATCTCTTTGGATTTGAGACTTTAGTCTTAGCAACTTTACAGATCTTCTTTATGCACCAAGAGCTTGTAACACTCCAAAGAGAAAGGAAAACTTGAAATCGCATCATATGACCCCTTTAAAACCATGTGCAAATTCATCAGTCAACACCATTGCTGAGCATTTTCTCCGTAAAGACAATCACAAAACGCTGTTTGATACTGCCCCTGTTTCCTACATCACAATCATTTAACCAATCCCATCAATCTGCGGGGCAGGGCTTTTCATCCACTGGTCATAGGTTTCTATTTACAAAGTGTGTTTGAACTGGGAAAAAAAACCTCATTTTGAAAAAAACAGCCTTTAAAGATATGTATTGTAACTGAAATCTCTAGAAATGCAAATAGATAAAGTGCCTATAGTTTTGTCTATAGTGTCTCGTCCAGTGTTGGGGAAAGTTACTTTTAAAAGTAATGCATTACAATATTGCATTACTCCCTAAAAAAGTAACTAATTGTGTTTTTGTGGAAAATAATGCATTACACTACTTTTGACGTACTTTTTCTCATCTGGGCTGGGCTTTCACATCAAAAGTGAAATGAATAAAGCTCAGGCTGAAGGAAATGTAAATTCATGTCTGTACAGTAGAGGCCGCAGCTCAAACAAACCTCAGTTGTGCTGCCATTCTGGATTGCATGAAGAATAGAACGCAGTAGAAGTTCAATGCACTTCAGTAAAAACATTTTTTAAATGAAGCACAAATGTTATGTTCATCTAAAGTCATTTTTGCTTTACCCGCCAACACTTGTCTCACCTTAGTAGAATCGTTTTGTTGCTAAGTTTAAAATGGGGAAACATCAGATCTCATAACAAAAATGAAAAAGCCGAGGGAATAAAGTGTAAAAAAACATGTTCTATTTTAAACGTTTTATTTACAAATTTTTCAGTATAATTTCAGATTGAAGTATACAGAGAAGTGAATATGCCGCGTCTATATAAACATCACTACATTGCATGACTTATTAAATCACAAAATAAAAGAAAATATCTTAATGTACTTCAAAACAAGAATATAGTCTTTCAAAATTATGTAGAGAGAATTGTAATTATGGGGAAGAATGAAAGGTTTTGGATGTAACATCACACCCGGAATGCTTCAAAATGACTTTTGAAGATCTGTCCACTTCAGTGAACACCAGCACCAGAGGGTCAATCACAGACTGCAACAATCTCCTGCCATCCGCTTCACTCCTCACTGGTCATCTTGAGCAGGTTCTGCTTGTCGATCTTGAAGAGCCTCCACCCTTCCTCCAGCGAGAGATCAGACGCTCCACGCCGCTTGTAGAACTCGATGGAGGATTTGTTCCACTCCGCCACGATGAAGTGCATGCTGCTGCACCGAGTCCTGACCGCCGTCTGCAGAAAACCAGTCAATGATTGGAGAAAACTGACTGAGTACGCGATATACTGCCAGGAAGAAGATTAGAGGTGCTGTAATGTTAGATCATTAACCTGGGACTAATTATTAACTAGTATTGTATACTTTGAGCTTTGGTACCCTTGTGAAAAAAGTACACTTCAGCATGCTTTTAAAAAAATAAACAGAAAAAAAGCTGGTGTAGACATTTTTTTTTTTTTAACTCAGAAGTTGTTTGTAAATTTCACAAATAATTTCAAAGAAAGAAACGGCGAGTAACACATTGAATTAAATGTGAAAATTTTAAGGAGAAAGACTGAATTAGTATTTTCTTGTAAAATGTACTCCATTAATCTTTGTTTTATTTTCAATTTCAATTTTTTTTACAGTGTATATACTTTAAAATATACATACTTAAGTGCAAACTGAATGTGATGTTTTCAGACACTTAACTGCGTGCTATTTGCAATTTAATTAAAATAAATAAAATAAGTTTATATTACATCAAATGCATACTTAATGTATGCATAGTAAAAATGCATAGTTTTTTGACTCACTTAAGTAGGACTAAGTAGTACATCTTTATGTTTATGGTTAACTAAAATATACTTTAATGTGATTTCTGTGGAAACTTGAATGAAATGTTTTTAAGTAGGCTATATTTGTAATTTCATATAGTAACGATGATGTCGAAATGTAGTACATTTAAAATATATTAACTTTCAATGTAATATTAAACAGTTAAAATGATAATCAAGTACTTTATATGCGCTGTAGTATGTTAGTCAACACATCAATATAAGTGTACTTCTTTAAAGCATGACAAAAGTTGATTAAAACATGATTTAAAATGCACTTTGAAGTAAAACATCATTACAAAGTGCACTTCTTAAAAGTGTACTTAAGTGTGTTAAGAAACATAGTCACGAAAGTGTCTCTTTAAGTAAATTTTATATATATTTTATAGTATTTTTAGTTTTAAAAAATACACTTATACGATATTCAATACAATTAAGTGCACTTCTTTTTCACAAGGGTAACTATGTGATCTGAACAACATACATGAACCGTTTCCTCACAGGCCATTTGGTGCTATATAAAGGAAGTTGAAACTTACCTGACTCAGTTTCTTCAGGATTTCAGAGCCAATTCCAAAACCTCATTTTAATAGCCATATTTGACCCAAAGTTGGGTTGAAACAACCCAGCATTTTTTTAGAGTGTAGGGTTGGGAACACTGATCTACATAATTACTATTATTATCAATCTCTATTATAGATCAGTGGTTGGGAATCAAAACATACTAGAAAGACTTTCATGACTTTCCAAAGATGTTTTTGTAAAAGTAAACGTTGCTGTTGTCATGGCAATTAGCCGGGTTCTTCCCCAAAATTCTAAAAGATTCATTCATAATTAATTTTATAATTCATTACATTTATATAGCGCTTTTCTAGGCACTCAAAGCGCTTTACATTGTCAGGGGGTATCTCCTCATCCACCACCAGTGTGCAGCATCCACCCGGATGATACGACGGCAGCCATAGTGTGCCAGAATGCCCACCAAACACAAGCTTATTGGTGGAGAGGAGACAGAGTGATGAAGCCAATCAGTAGATATGGGGATTGTTAGGAGGCCATGATGGTCAGAGGCCAATGGGCAAATTTGGCCAGGATGCCGAGGTCACACCTCTACTCTTTTCAAAAGACATCCTGGGATTTTTAATGACCACAGAGAGTCAGGACCTCGGTTTAACGTCTCATCCGAAGGACGTAAATTCATGGAATCGTTCATTCCTTGCAATTCCCATCCCTAGTTGTGAGTATTGGATCAAATCCATACGGTGCGTCTGTTAGTTTGGGGCGTATGGTAGTGTGGTGTTAGGCTGGGACGTCCCAGCTGTTGTGGCCTTACCTCTGGTTTATTGTAAATGTTACGCTATTGTAAGCGATCTTTCAGTTACCTCCCCGCCCATCCATGTACACGCCATGGGCAATGTACATGGCAAAGCAAGAGACTGTAGCCTGAAGACAATAAATTACAGAGGGGGATTGGATAAGATTTCTTTGCAACTGTCGAACAACTCAAAATCTCTGTGTTGAACGTTCAGATTCACACACACACACACAAAAAATCACTTTACATTCCAGTGTTCATGTTACAGTGTTACTTCAATAAACAGTTCACCCAAACATGAATATATGGCATTATTCACTTACCCTCATGTCAAAATTTCCCAAAATTTGAAATCCCAAATAGTGACCACTTCTCTAAAGCAACAAAAAGGACAAAAACCCCAGCATGAAGTTTGTTTGTTTTTTAAGCCATACAGTGTGAACAGACCCAAATTTAAGTTGATTTTCTAATTCAGTATTTTTGTCTTGTTTTCCAGTACAAATATCGAAACATTCTTAAATCAATATGCATTTACTTGAGAAGCAAAATGACTTAAGTCCTGTTTTCTGAAAAATGTCTCAAAATGAAGTGACTTTATGTTTAAAATAGGAAAAAATGTCCACTAATGAGGTCAGAAAAACAAACTCGTTTTTCCTCTAAATTAAGTTTCTTTTTCGGACCCCTTTGTAAGATTTTTTTTTCTTGTGTTAAGCATCAAGCCACTTAATTTTGAGACATTTTTCAGAAAACAAGACTTAATATCTTAAGCAATTTTGCTTCTCAAGTCAAGTAGATGTATCTTGATTTAAGAAGAAACAGGAAAAATACTGAGGAAGAAAATCATTTTTGGCAGTGTGTATACTTATATATTATTCCTAAAATCTCATTTTTGGGTGAACTAACACTAATGAACTACATGCACGTCATGTTTATTGTATGCGTAACATGCGCACTACAATGCAAAGTGTTACCAAACACAGTTTTTCGTCATTATGCACAGAAGCACGCTTTGTAACCCGAGTGTCAGTGGGAATTTACACACTCCTGATGTGCTCACTTCAACCTGATATGGAGAAAACAGAACAGCATGACATACTGTTCATTGAAACACAGAGCTGAAGCACAGGTTTAGTCTTACCGTCGGCGCTCTGATGCTGTTTGGGCACTTCAGCCACGATACAGTGATAGAACGGATGATCTCCAAAGCCGTCCTCCAGCAGATCTACAGGAGCCAAAGAGCAGTCAGAAGAGTGAAAACACAAGCTACAAACTCTGACAACGTCTAAATGTACTCACCTTTCTCAGTGAGAACAACTTGATCTTCCATTTCCTCAAATTTGGCCAGTTCCTAACATGAAACATGCATATTCGGGTTTGAAAATGATACATTTAGGATTACTAACTATACTGTAACTCTTCAGATCTCATCATCACAACATCTGAGGTCAAAAAAAAAAAATAATAATAATAATATATTGGTGTAGAAACAAATTTCACTCATAAATTGCTCAATAAATTTCACAATTTGAATATAAGAATAAAACAAAATAATAATAATAAAATAAAAATAATATAAAGAAAACTACAAAGAAACCAAGCAACACATTGAATTAAACATGATATTTAGAAAAAAACGGAACTACTATTTTCTTGTAAAGCATACTTCAATAAAATGTATAACTTTGAAAAATTTTTTTGCAGTGTAGCTACACAGTTTTTAAACTGCCTTAAATAGCACCAATCTGGTTTAAAACTGAACTACCCATACCTTTATTAAATATCATAAATAATAATAGCAATAAAAGTCATCATATAAATATTATAAATAAACAAATAATAGTATTAATGAAATAAACAGCAATGAATATAAAATTACATAAATATAAAAGGAATAAATAATAATAAAAAAATAAAATCATAATAAATAAATACAAAGAAACTGCAAGTAACATTAAATTAAACATGGAATTCTGAACATCAGTCAGGTTTAAAACTGAATTTCATACCTTTATGAGTCGCAGTATGTCAGACACGTCCTTGGGCTCGGCTTTCCGTAATATAAAATTGGCCATTTTCTTCTTTTACTCTTCTTCCCTTTTCTTACTAGTCCTCTGTATGTGAAACGTAGTAAGATTTGTTTCTTCATCCGCTTCTCAGAGGTTTACCCTCAGCTACAAGCCTCAGATCTGCTTTCTTCTGCTTGGAAAGGCATCAGTGGCTGGTGTGATGAAGCGTCTGCTGAGCTCAGAGCTGCGACGCTTCCTCCTTTTATTGATGCTCAGGAGGGGCAGAAACCTCAGGCCACTCCCAGAAAAACCTGCTGTGCATCGGGTCCTTCCTGAAAAAAAGTGGCCTGTTTGTTCACTCGAAGCAACATGGGTTAATGTTTATCGTTCTGGAAACTGGTTTATGTTCTTCATTTTCAAACCGCAGATCATGCAAAGGTCATGTCCTGTACATAAGCATCCTGATTTACCAAATAAAACAGACCTTTGAATTTGCTAATGCAATCTGACAAACTGTGGGCAATGCATTTGCACAGATGGAGATTTCATATTTGACAATTATATTATTTCTATAATGCATATAGGCCTATATTTAAAAATTAGTATACAGAGCAGATTGGCTGATATAATGCTGGCATATACATACATATAAAAATACACTTTAATGACTGAAAAATTAAAATGTGCACTAAAATAAACACTTATTTTACACAATATTTACTCTAAATGAACAAAACATGGAAATAGATATTCAGCAATAAACAACAAGACTGTCAGCAGATTTGACTAATGACGCTTTTGCTAATCAACAAGTGTATAATCTGATCACGAAAAATAACCAAATGTTCAAATAGCAGTCATTAAAAGTAATAAAAGTATAAATTAAATCATATAAATAACAGCAATACCATAATACTATGAATAATATAAATATAAAAATATAAAATTAGAATAATAATCAATAAAAATAATATAAATAGTATAAATAAATTATAAATAAGTTATAAAAGTAAAGTCAGTGCATATTTGTGTTTTTTTAAACAAGTAATCTGACCACAAAAATCACAAAACAGCAAAATCACAAAATCAAATATCAGTCAATAAAAGTAATAAAAATTACAAATAAAATAAAATGATAATATAAATAATAGCAATAAAATTAATAATATACAAAATGTAAATATTATAAATAATAGTATTAATAAAAACATATAATAAATAAATTGCATAATATGAAAATAAAATTAATAATCAAATAAATAGTTATAAAAGCAATATACAGAAAGTCGAAACTTGTATTTTTTTTTTGAAAACATTTTTCCAAAATTCACAAAATAAAGGTTTAAGCATCACGATTTTACAACCAAAAATGCATCTTGAATATGAATGCATCCCTGAGGATCGAAGGAAACCTGCAAAAACCATATAAAACAGCATTCTGTCAAGTCTGCATGTGATTTGATATAAATCAGGGCCAGCATGCATGAGGAAGTTCACTGTTTTGCCATGAGTTTGCCTGTGGTGTATTTTGCCATGAGGTGCTTTTGTGTATCGTCAACACAACTCGACTTACAGTTGGTTTGATGGAAATTACAGTTACGGCAAAAATGCAGGACAAAAGTCCATATAGCGCACAGCCTGTGGATATTTCTGATTTTCTGATTTTTATTACATTTACATTTAGTCATTTAGCAGATGCTTTTATCCAAAGTGACTTACAAATGAGGACAATAGAAGCAATCAAAACCAACAAAAGAGCAACAATATGTAAGTGCAAATGACAAGTCTCGGTTAGCCTAACACAGTACACGTAGCAAGGTGTATACAGTATATATATTATACACACACACACACACAAAGAAAAACAAGTAGATAGAATAGAAAAAATAGAAAGCTAGTGTTTTTAAATAAAAAAAACATAAATAAACAAAGTAGAATTAAAATAGAACAGAGTGCTAGAGTTAGAGGGTCAAATAAAGGTGGAAGAGATGTGTTTTTAGTGGTTTCTTGAAGATGGTTAAGGACTCAGCTGCTCGGGTTGAGTTGGGCAGGTCATTCCACCGCGAGGGAACAGTTAATGAAAAAGTCTGTGAAAGTGATTTTGTGCCTCTTTGAGATGGCACAATAATATGCCGTTCACTTGTAGAATGCAAGCTTCTAGAGGGCACATAACTCTGAAGTAATGAATTTAGGTAAATGGGTGCAGAGCCAGTGGTGGTTTTGTAGGCAAACATCAATGCCTTGAATTTAATGCGAGCATCTACCGGTAGCCAGTGCAAATTGATGAACAGAGGTGTGACATGCATTCTTTTCGGCTCATTAAAGATGAATCTTTCAGCTGCATTTTGGATTAATTGTAGAGGTTTGATAGAAGTGGCTGGAAGACCTGCCAAGAGAGCATTGCAATAGTCCAGCCTGGACAGAACAAGAGCTTGAACAAGGAGTTGTGTTGCATGTTCTGAAAGAAACATCTTATATATATATATATAACATCTTCCTAATGTTGTATAAAGCAAATCTACAGGACCGGGCAGTTTTAGCAATGTGGTCTGAGAAATTCAGCTTATCATCAATCACAACTCCAAGGTTTCTAGCTGTTTTTGAAGGAGTTATGGTTGATGAGCCTAACTGGATGGTGCAATTTTGATAAAGTGATGGGTTTGTTGAGGTGAGGTGAGGTGATGGTCCGTCATCCAACAAGAAATGCCTGTTAGACATGCTGAGATGCGAGCAGCTATCATTGGATCATCAGGATGGAATGAGAGGTAGAGCTGAGTGTCATCAGCATAGCAGTGATATGAAAAGCTATGTTTCTGAATGAAAGAAACTAGTGACGCCATGTAGACAGAGAAGAGAAGTGGTCCAAGAACTGAGCCCTGAGGCACCCCAGTAGTTAGATGTTGCAACTTGGACACTTCACCTCTCCAAGATACCTTGAAGGATCTAATTGTAATTTCATAGTAATAATAATTCCATAATTTAATATATTTTATTTAATTAGTCATTTCACCTTCAATGGTATGACAAGTGTTTCTGCAAATATTTTCATATATACTTTAAACAAAAAGATGTTAAAAATAACTAGGGTGCAGATGATGGAAGAACTGGAGAGGCTCTGCAAGGAGGAATGGCAGAGGATTCCCAAATCCAGGTGTGAAAAACTTGTTGCCTCTTTCCCAAAAAGACTCATGGCTGTATTAGATCAAAAGGGTGCTTCTACTAAATACTGAGCAAAGGGTCTGAATACTTAGGACCATGTGATATTTCAGTTTTTCTTTTTTAATAAATCTGCAAAAATGTCAACAATTCTGTGTTTTTCTGCCAATATGGGGTGCTGTGTGTACATTAATGAGGAAAACAAATTAACTTAAATGATTTTAGCAAATGGCTGCAATATAACAAAGAGTGAAAAATGTAAGGGGGTCTGAATACTTTCCGTACCCACTGTATTTGCACATGCAGCTGGATGACATATTAATGTATTAATATAGCTAATATTACAACAGAATATCCTGCACTGAGTGACTTTAAATACTGATTTGTCCATTTGTCTTGACACATGACACATATTTCACAGAGTTTTTGCACTACACCTTTGACCCAAACATGTGACTGACCTTTGCTGCACACACAAAAACACAGACCATTACAGTAAAATCAGCTCTCTGGGGAGCAAACGTTTCCACCGCCTATGCAAAACAAAAGAAACTGGCCCCTTTGTTCTTACTATTTCTATATTCATTTTCAGCAGTGCTGAAAAAACAAAAGACAAAAAAATCAGACCAACTGATGCAAATTCTGAGGCAAAAATGTATTTCGTTTTTTCAGATTATAATGTTCTATTATTAAAGAATCAAATAGTTAAATCAATAATTGTATAATAGTCCCACATGCATAACTTTATTGTCTGGCAGTTCACACGTTTGCACTTTGGCCTTAACATCTGTCTGGGACGGGGTCAAGAAACAGCCTTATCTAGTCTTTAGCAGCGTGACACTATTATTGCAGCTGTGCATGTTTGCAGTAATACAGGCCTTTCCTTAAAAACAGTCCAATGTTTCCGGTCTCAACACAGTTCAAATGTATTGCAATGACAGCAGCTGCAAAGCATCACCCTGCTGATTTTCTACACATGTAGTTTCAGAAAAACACCCGTTTTGTTTTGTTGGGGTTGTGCTATAAAAGCTGATTCTACATCGCTCTCTAGTGTCAGACGAATCAGTTCACATTCTGTATGCTTGTTTGCAGATTCAGGATTCTCACATCTTTGACCAATGAATTTCCATTGCTAATAATTTAAAACTATTGTTGGGAAAGATTTCCATTTGTATTTCAGATAGCAATCTGTAGAGTTAATAGATTTAAAACCATTTCACACAGCAGCTGTCTTAGTATCATTATGAAACTATTAGTGTTTTTATTAATAGTTTGACTTCTTTTAAATGTTAGATTTTGCATTTTTAAATTTGAGTAATTTTGTCATTATTTAATATTTCTATACAGTTTTTATTAGTTTTAGTTTTTGTTATTTTAGTACATAAAGTTAAAAATGAAACTAATTTGTATTAAAAAATCTTGCTTTTATATTAACCTAAAATAAACAAATAAACATAAAGACAAAAAAAATGAAATTAATTTGTATTAAAAAAAATCTTGCATTTATATTAGCCTAAAATAAATAAATAAATAAATACAGACTAAAAAATTAAATTAATTTGTATAAAAAAAAATCTTGCGTTTATATTAACCTAAAATAAATAAATAAATACAGACTAAAAAATGAAATGAATTTGTATGAAATCTTGCATTTATATTAGCCTAAAATAAATAAATAAATAAATACAGACTAAAAAATGAAATGAATTTGTATTAAAAAAATCTTGCTTTTATATTAACCTTAAAATAAACAAATAAACATAAATACAGACAAAAAAATTGAATTAATTTGTATTAAAAAAAATCTTGCGTTTATATTAACCTAAAATAAATAAATAAATACAGACTTAAACATGAAATTAATTTGTATTAAAAAAATCTTGCTTTAATATTAACCTTAAAATAAACAAATAAACATAAATACAGACAAAAAAAATGGAATTAATTTGTATTTTTAAAAAAATCTTGATTTTATATTAACCTAAAATAAATAAATAAATAAATAAATACAGACTTAAACATGAAATTAATTTGTATTAAAAAAATCTTGCTTTAATATTAACCTTAAAATAAACAAATAAACATAAATACAGACAAAAC